CATGGGTGACATTTGAGAACACCTGAAGTTATCCTTTGAGCCTACACAAACACACACACACACACACACACACATCTCCACACACAAACGTACACGTACACACTGTGCACCTATACACATACAAACATGCACACATACACATACTGTGCATCTGTACATATGAGTGCACACACAAAGACAGAGCTAAGAAACAGATTTGAGGATCATGACTCCTAAGTCAGTGCTCTTAGGGTGCCCTGCATGCCATAGGCTGAGGCAGAGTTAGGCATAAACAGACTCACCCTCTACACATTTTTCTCTAACGTGTTTTTCTCACAGGTAAAGGCTGGGAATTTCCCACCTTACCCATAAGGTTGGAACTGCATGACCCCTTCCTCCGCCATTTTGCTACCTACCATTCAGCCCCTCCTCCCTCTGATGTCCCCTTCCGTGACCACAGCCCATACCCTGACCATGGAGCTCAGCCACCTTGTCCTCTGGAACTCCTTGTCCTCCTTCAGTTCAACTTCCACTTGTCACCATGCCTACTCTACAAACCAGGTACTTAGGCAGGTCACTGAGTCAGACTTCAGTTTTAAACAAACTCTCATCCCTCTCATTTGGGTCACTTCTACCAAGATGCTGGGGAGACACCTTAGCCCGGGAATCTTCAAAAGAGCCCTTGCCTGGCAGGCAGTTGCCAGCCTGCCCTGGACTCAGCCTTAATAAATAAATCCCATCCAATCAGCTCCAAAATCCCGTTAGTTGAAAAATAATATACAGGTCAGGTGTGATAGCATGCACCTGTAATCCCAGCATTTGGGAGACAGAGGCAAGAGAACCTTGAGTTCAAGGTCATTCTCATCTATAGCCTGGACTACTCAAGACCCTGTCTCAAAAAGGGTGAGGAGGTAAATAAGAGAAGAGATGGAACAAGAAGGAAAAAGAAAGAAAAGAAGAAATAAAAGAGAATAAGAAGGAAAGAAAATATGCGATGTTACCAGTTTGACTTAAATAATGAGATGAGAGCTCATTGAGAAAATGCCAAGGCTGTGGTGCTCTGAGGTTGGCATATGTCCATCACTCAGCTAAGGATAATCTAGCTGTGTAGCTTTGAGTACGTCATTTCATGTCTCTAGTCAACAGCTTATTTACCCCTCAAAGCAGGAGTAGAACTAGATAATCCCTTGAAAACACTGAAGGCCTATTATCGAATATTAAAGAAACAGCAAGCCTGATATTATCACTCCCATCGATGCTTTTCTCCAATCATTAACCAGATAAATGGGTTGTTTCTGCAATCCAATGGCAAAGTTCACTTTGGGGGAGAAGAAGAAGATTTGGGGGACAGTGGACATTGTTGGACATCTCCAGGAACCTAATCCTGAGTTTGTCTTATCTTGGTGGCAATAGGCGATCTGAAGGCTCTTCACAGAAACAGGGTGCACTTTGAATGAATGCTTTTGGTGAGTACGACACTGTCAGCTGACTCAAGGCGAGATGAAATCTAGTTTTTGAAAATGTTTCTTTTTTTTCTTGTCTCCTTTTATGAAGTTTGGCTTAATCGCTTGTTTTTCTCTCTTCCTTATGTAATCCTGTGGGATGTGGCATCACAAAGCCATAAATTACTCATGGTGCTCTGAAAGAAAAGTCATTGTGTAAAAGAAACGAACTTAAGATGAAATGGAAGAAGATTTTGCACTAGACGTAAAAGAAAACTATAGCACACGTGGCTTGTAGCCCACAATGATCATTAATTCCCACAATTCCTCTGCGACTCCATCACTTGTTCCTGATTTCTTGTGCTTGGCTCTCCCTGGAGGTTAAGTTATTGGAGACTAAGTTACAGATATGCCCACTGCCACTGCAATGTAGTCCCCCAGAAGTATTAGAAAAGATATCATGGTCTTGGCAATTCCGGGGATGGTTAAAGATGGCAGTTTCTTGTTTCTTGTTTGAAGAAACCCAGAAAGCTCCCTTTTTGTCCAAAACTCATTTTTTCAATAAACTTTTCAAATTATTCTTGTGGGTTAGTTAAACTCCCTTTGTAAAACATAAATACACAGAAACACAATTAGCCTCCAGCAGAGGTAAGTCACAAAGCTAACTCTCAGATAGGAATTCCTTAATAAAATTGATTTAACTAAACTATGTCTAAGGTGGCAGCTAGGTATGATAAAATTTCTAACAAGCAAGCAAATTATCTTTTTCTAAAGCCTCTTTCATATTCGCTGACACATCTGAGCTCCTGATCCTCCCAGAGCTGAGGATCAGCTCAGATTCCTTAGTTCCCCAGAAATAGCAAGGAGAAGTTTGTGTTGGTTCATTCATTCCTACCAGAAACCTTACAACTCCCAAGCACCATGCTGGGCTGTTAAAGATACAGACAGATAATAACCTTACCTATCCTTATATATAGCAGTGTATACAGTGCCAGACATAAAAAATCATTACAGAGACTCAAACATAAATAGCACAGTTCTTAAATTTTAAGTGCTCTTTCCTAAATCAAACAGATGGAAAGTTCCAAAGCTGGGATTTCCTCCCAGGTCTGAATTCAGATTGCCATTAAAGACATCCTATAACTTTTTTAACTGGACAAGTTCTGACAGGGCAAAGTGAGGAAAAGCAAGCTCCCATACTGAGGTTCTGTTGTGGGAGGAAAGGTACAGGTTGATGGCTCCAGAAACTGCTGGACAGGACGGCAGAAGGAAACAAAGTTTCCAAGCAGGACCCAGGAGAGGATCAATCCCAGAGTGCAGCCTGGGAACTCTTCCTGCCAGCCTTGAAGGATGCCCAGCCCAGCAGAAAGGTCTTTCTATTCTTTCTTCACTTGTACTCAGACTAACTGTACGACCTCTTTGGGATGTTACCAATTATAGATACACCATAGAACTGGGGGTTCAAGGTGTCATCACTTACCTGACATGTCTAAAACTGTCCTCAAGATACTTGCTTTTTCCTGCTGTTAGGACTCTTATTATCTACCTCACTAATCTCATTTCACCTCTATATCCCAAGAAAGAGTTCTTTTTCTATTCTCCGTAATAAATCTATTTGTAGACTGGAGATGTAGCTCAGTTGGTAGGGTGCTTGCCTAGCATGCCTAAGGCCCTGGTTTCAAATCCCAGCAGCACATAAACTAGGCATGGTAGAGACACACCTCTAACCTAAGCACTCCGGAGGTGGAGGCTAGAGAATCAGGAGTTCAAGGTCATTCTCAGCTTCATAGCAAGCTCAAGGCCAGCCTGGGCTACATGAGACCTTGCTTCAAAAAAATCTACTTGTGCTGAAGTTGATAAGCTTTCAAGGATTCCCTAATGATCAGACAGTCTGGGGTGTGATTATGTGGTGCACAACGTAGAGCAGCTGACTGAGTCTCCCCTTGCAGATCTATAATCCTCTTCCTTTCTCACGTTCTATAGCAATGAAAATATTTTTCTCTTTGCTCAGACACAGACTGTATACCCAGAGTCTAAGCTTCTGTAGATGTGTCAAGGATTTGTTCTCCCACCGAGGTAGGTAGGTATCTCCTCAGAAAGTCTTCTCTGATCAGCCACTAAGGCTATAGAGAGTCTCTCCTTTCTTCCCATCAAGACTGAGATCAAAGAGGTAAACCATTGCCCATTATTTGCAGTATTTCTTTGGCCACACAACAAAATGTGGCAGAAAGTCCCAATCATAGCATAGCTCCTAAGGTCCTCCTTGACCAACTGAAGGGTGGCTTCCACCTCAGTCCAGTACCCAACGAGTCCCCTTGGCACTGATTCTCTGGCACCACAAGCTTTCTGTATGCTGAACACAGTCCATGTGTTCTATGTGACTGTAAGCAACAGAAAGAGAATCACTAGATCACTGGGTACAAAGTACTATACAGAGGCTAGGAAGATAAAGAATTATGATCTCTAAAAAGATTATGAAATCCCATGAATCATAACAATATGGATGAACCTCCAGGATACTATGTTAAAGGAAATAAGTCAGACACAGAAAGACAAATATTCAGTGATGTCAATAACTGTGGAATCTAAAGTTTTTGTCTCACAGAAGTTGAGAGGAGAATGGTGAAGAGAGAATGAGGAAAGAAAGGAGAGGGACAGAAAGAGGCTGATCAATGGGTGCCAAGTTACAGCTGTAGTGAGTCAGGTATCTGGCGGCACCGTAGCATGAATACAGTCAATAGTGCCCTTACACAGATGAATAATTAAGAGGGATTTGGACCAGCCATGACAGCTCATGCCTATAATCCCAGGACCTAGGCACATGAGGCAGGAGGATTGCCATAAGTTTAAGACCAGTCTAGCCTATAATATGAGACCTTTTCTCAAAAACAAAGCAAAAAGCAAAACTAAAATTAATGAGGGTTTATAATACACTCACCATAAAGAAATGACAAAACTATAAGATGACAGATACACTAATCACCATGATTTGATCATTACCCAATGTTTCTGTGAATCAAAACACAACAGCTCTGAAAAATGTTCAAGTGCCTCAAGCAACACATGCAAAATTAGTTGTTGTTTTTTTTTTTAAATCATGTCCTCTGTTACCCAAGAATATACTGGAGCCCATTTCTGGCACCAGTCTACTATGTAATCCTAGGGAAAATATTATTTAAGTATGAAGACCTAAGTTTTGATCCCCAACGATCTGTAAAAGGCCATGGAAAGCCATGTACATGTATAACCCTAGCACTAGGGTGGGAGGTTGAGGTGGAGACAGGAGGATGCCGGGGCTCACTGGCTGATAGCCTAGTGAAAAAACTGCAGACTACAGGCTCAATGAAAGATCCTGTCCCAAGAGAATAAGGCAGTGTGCTCTCTTACACACCTGCACATACACATACGTATACGCTGTTCTATAAAAACAGCAATACCATAAACACTTACCTCCTAGGGTTATTACAAAGAAGAAATAAGGTAAAACACAATTTTTTCAGTTTATTTTTTTATTTATTTTTTGGTTAACACACAAAGAAATATGTTTCATTGTAAGATCTTCATACATGTATATGGTTATATTTTGCTATTATTTGCTGCCCCCAGTGCCCTCGCCAAAGTCTCCTCTTTCCTCCTCTTACTGGTCCCCATCCTCTTTGCAAATAGTTCCCCCCTCCTGCCTTCATGACATCTATTTTCCATTATGCTCTCTGTTTCCTCCTCTTCCCTCCCTTCAGACCTCCCCTTCATAGGCCCTTTTCTATTTTTATGTCAAACACGTAGATAGATAGATGATAGGTAGGTAGGTAGGTAGGTAGGTAGATAGATTAGATAGATGATAGATAGATAGATAGATAGATAGATAGATAGAGATAGTAGATGATAGGTAGATAGATGATAGATGGTGTGCTGGATAGCTTTAGTGTCAACTTGACACACCTGGGTTGAGGGAGCCTCAATTAGGGAATTGCCTTCATTGGACTGGCCTGTGGCCATGTCCATGGGGCACCTTCTTGATTGTTGAGTGATGTGGGAGGGCCCAGCCCACTGTGGGTGGTGCCACCCCTGGGCAGGTGGACCTGTGTTGTATAAGAAAGCAGGCCGAGCAGGGGCCAGGGGAGAAAGCCAGTAAGCAGCAATCCTTCATGGCCTATGCTCCAGCTCCTGCCTCCAGGTTCCTGCCCTGAGTTCCTACCTTGGGCTCCCTGATAAACTGTGACCCAGGAGATGTAAGCTAAATAAACCCTTTCTTCCCCTAGTTCGTATTGGTCAGAGTGTTTTGCCACAGCAATGGAGAAACAAACTAAGACAGATGGATAGATAGATATAGATAGATGAGAGATACATACATACATACATACATACATACATACATATATGCTTAGAATCCTACATACATAGATAGATACATAGATTAGATAGATGGATAGATAGGTAGATATAGATGATGGATAAAGTGATAGATGGATAGATGATAGATAGATAGATAGATAGATAGATGTAGATAGATAGGTAGATAGATGATAGATAGAAAGATAGATAGGTAGG